GGTAAAAAGTCTTGGCTTATATTCCGAAAATTACGGTACATATTAAACCAAAGTCAGAGCAAACTAGTAGTGATTAGAGCTATTTTAAAATTGGTTCATGTTAAGATTTGTAACAATTTTAACTTAAATACAGATAAAATTGTTAAGAAATGTCTCTGAAATAAAGCAGAGTTTAGAACAATTTATTTGACTTTACAGAATTAAATGTTTTGGGTTTTTTTTGTTAAACTTAGGTGTAAAGATTAGCATTCTATTTTTCCCGCAGACTAAAATGTATTTGTTTTAGTTGGCAGCCGAACGATGTGGGAAGTCTTTTGCAAAGGCACAAGGTGATAAAGAGCAAGAGCTGAAGTTGATGGTGGAATGGGCTTCTGAGGGGTTCCTACCCACAGGACCGAGGGGATTTGCTCCACCTGGTAGGTTTTAAACCTCTGCTTCAGTCTCTGAATGTGAAAACTTTTGGTGATCCTAATGACTGTGATCTTATCTGTCCATAATGGAGAAGAACAGAAAAATACATTTTAGATTTCCTAGCTGAGCAATAAATGGTTTTGCTGTCATCATTACCCAAACGATGTCTGCAATAATGAAGTAAATAATTCTGTGATTTCTGGTATGATGTTTTAAGTTCCATCCCTTCAAAGTAGAGGCCAATTACATGTTTTCTATCATTTATTCTTTATTGGCTAAAATACTCACCTGATGTAGATTTTCGTTAGCAAAAACCTTCAAGCTCTTTGAGAGAACCGTTGATGGAAAGACAGAGGAGGGTGAGAGAAATGTAGGTTGCGCACGATATTTAGTGTTTCATTGCTGCTAAATCGTTGAAACTGCTGAATTTTTTGGTCAAATATTTCATCATTTTTTAACACAACATTTATTTTACCACAGATCATCCCCAAATTGTTATTTTTTTCTGTCTTTCTCTGATTTACAAGACTCAGATCAAGACCCTAGTGACTCTTCTTCCTCCGATTATCAACCCCCTCCAAAAAGAAAATACGTCTTTAAAAACAGGGCAGTCAGTTCCAGCATCACCTTCAATAGAGGTTTGCTATTTTTTCTATTTTTTGGCAAATTAAATGAAACATTTGGAGTAACAAAGCTTGAATATGCCTAAAATGTTCATCAATAACATTGTTTTCTTATCCGTTTTTCTTTTTCATACTTTGCTTCACAGAATCACTGAAAGAAAAGGTCAAAGAAAAAGGAAAAACTATTGAAAGTAAGGTTGCATTTTAGCTTACAATTCTTTATACATTCACTGTAATTAACTGTTTCTGTTACTAACTGTTGTTCTCTATAGATTTCTGTTTGTCTTGTGCATCACATGAGATCAGCGTCCAGCATCCCTTGTTTGAAGGCGGTCTTTGTCAGAAATGCAAGGTAATCTGCTAACCATCATCTATCACCTTAATGTTTTACTGTATTTTCTACATCTCAGCAGAAAGTTTCTCTTTGCACAGAAGCAGAAAAACGTTTTCTCCTCTATCTGTAAAACAGCCGTAGCTCCGTTGTTGGTTCAATGATTTTCATTTCTGGTTTTGCAGGAGAATTTCACAGAGACGCTTTATCGTTACGATGAAGATGGCTACCAGTCGTATTGCACTGTTTGCTGTGGAGGCTTAGAGGTCATTCTGTGTGGGAACTCCAGCTGCTGCAGGTAAACAAAAAAAAATAATTTTTGTGGGTTCAAATGAGTTTATTTTTTTATTAGACTTAATCCATCAGCCCAAGAAACTTTAAAAAAAAATAAGGTTTAAGGAGATACAGAATTTAGGTTAGAATTTGTTTCTTTTGACCAGTTAAGACTATTTTGGTGCTAAAATCATATAAAGCAAAAAAATGTAGACATATTCATTAGAATAAAACCGATGTGCCAGTAAGGTTGTTTTTTTAAATATAAACAAAAATAACTACCGTATCTTAAAACAGGTAATAAACTTTCTATGTGGTGCTGCTATGGTGTGGCGGTAGAGCGCATGACTTATTTCCCGGTGTAGGTACCAGATCTGCTCAGGTGATCAGATCTGCTCGGGTCCTGTGCATGCCAGTGACGTTACGCTACATGATTGGCTGAACGTCGCCACAAATGACGTAAAACATAGTGGTTGCCCAGACAACGATGATAACATAAAGCAGTGTCAGTGTGCAGAGTCGGGAGCTTCTGTTTAATGACCGATGAAGTTTTACCTGATTGATAACAAAACTGAAAAAAAATCTTTTTATCTGAAAAAAGTAACTGTTAGACCATGATATAAAGGGGGAGAGCTGGGTAGCGCTGTGGCTAGCTGTGTTCAGTAGCTAACAGGTTAGACTCTATTAGCTCGGTCAGTTAGTTTTGAATTTGTATCAACAACAAAC